TCTCTCTCTCTCACTCACTCACACAGACGCACGCCCACCAACACAGGATACAAGAAAAACAAACTGCTACCAAGAGATAATAGTCAGACAGCTGCTTGTTTGAGATGAATCAGAACAGTTTATTGCCCTAAATCACAAACAGTAATTGCCATACAGGCGATCGATTGATTCTTATATAATCAGCGGCGGCCAAAAGGGACAGCAGATTCCAGTTGGCTCACGGCTTCTACACTATGTGATGTGACGTTTGTGCGCTTTTACTCATCGTGTTTGAGGTATTTTGAGACCTGGTCGTACATGACGACCTTCTATTTGTTTGGTCGGCGTCAGTGTAGCATGACAGACCGCCCCGCCCGACGCAGGTCAGGTATCTCAACGGCCGGCTCTCTGGGGCCGAGCGCCGGGCGGGTAGGCAGTCCCGTCGCGCCGCGCAGCGCCACGGGACTGCCAACCCGGCCCCTGCAGCGCCCGGCGCACTGCTTGGAACTGCTCGGCGGCATCTTGTAGGGCAGCGAGGCGAGGCGGAGCGGCGGCGGAGAGCTTGCCAAGTGCAATCAGCTCGTCATAAACAATCACACACTACTATGCGGTGTCCCGTGTCCCCCGCGACCCGCGACACGACGCGCGCGGGGCGGGGCGGCGGCGTGCCAAGCCGGGCCCCTCACCTCGCGCCCCGCAACACGAACCGCACCAAGTCCAGTCCGCAGTGCGGCGGGGCGCGGGCAAAGTCACTCCAGCTGAGCCGGGGCCGGGTCTGCCTGCGAGTGTGATGTGTGTGTGTGTGGGGGGGGGGTCGCTCCAACTCACCGTCCGGTCCGGCTCCATACTTTGCCACACTCTACCCCTCCTCCCTCTCCCCCCTCAGACACCGCGCCGAACCAATTCCTAAATGCACACTAAAAGCTTCTCAGGTACGGTCTGCTGCTTCTGCCACCGCCCCTGCTCCCCACCTTCCTCCATGTACACCCCTTCCCTTTCACAACGGCTGCTGGACTGGGGCAGAGCCAGCTCGGGCATGCATAGCCAACCAACCCAAGCCCCTGGGAGGGCAGCCACACGCTAGACCGCCCCGCCCGCGCCCAGGTGACCGACTTCGCCATGAATAAGAACCAGGCCGACCTAGCCAGTGTGTGCGCCCGTCCCGCCCGGGCCCGCGCCAGCCACCCCGGACCAATAAAGTAGAGAGCTCATCCCGCAGGGACGCCTCGCGACCCGGCGGCCGGGTGGCGCGGCACGCGGCCGGGGGACATCTTCGGCGACATCCATGGTGTGCCTTTTTTGAGGTGGCCGCAGGTGTCTGAAAAGAACCCGTTGCGCCGTGACGGAAAAGGTGATGATAGTTGGAGCAAATCACGGCTGCACGCGGCTCGTTCCTCGCGGGTACATGTATAATGTAAATCGCACGCGGTTTTCTTCTCATGGCATCAGCCTTATCTTGGACGCAACTTTGTGCTGAGCGCTTGTGCGTGGCCGAGGCCGGCTGTGGTGTGGCGTGGCGGGGTTGTTGTTGCGGAGAGGAGGAGGGGGAAGTATAGGCCGGAAGACGCATGGACCAAAACTGCAAGCCTGGCGGAATTCAGCATCCCGCAGCCGACGGGGGGAATACCGACGCAGCGGAGGGCAGCGAGGCCCTCGGACAGCCAGTCACGGCGTGGCATCCGACGAGTGCAGTCGGATCAATCCGGGATACATTACACAGTTAAACAGGAGCGCGTGCCTGCCCAGTGTAGCAGAAGGTGAGCCGATTTTTGTTTGGTTAGTGATTGTTTAGGCAGATGAGCAATTCCAAGAGAAATGGTCAAAAATGTCCGTCCGTCACGCGATTTGTCAGCGACTGAGAGGTGCTACGGCTTCAAGCAAAACATGACTGGACGCGTCTTGAGACAGGGCTTGTGTTGTAAAACAACGTGGCGCCTCTCGCAGTCGCCCACAAATCGCGTTACGTACCGGGTGTCCCGGCTCTTACATGGTGGGTTGCATACGCGCTATGGCTCGCAGGCACTGTCGGGAGCGCGCACGATTTCGCGCATCCCCTGCGGTTCCACGGGGAGGCTCGCGCTCGCGGTACCGCGGGGATGCGCGAAATTCTGCGCGCTCCCGACAGCGTCTGCGAGCCGGTGCTTATGCACCCCACCATGCTGGCATCTAAAAACCGGGACACCCGGTGCGGACACCCGTTCCTGGAATAGCCCTGATATCAATGAGCAATGATAATTAGAAAGTGGTAGTACGCACCGATAAGTGACTCAACCATTCAACCACTTCATTTTACAAGAGCGATAAATTATTAACCCACGAAATATTGGTGCAGCCCGACAGAGGTATAATTCTGATTTTCAAAAAGAGAACTGTGCAAAGTGCAGTTCGCTACGAACGAGCAGTCGCATTAACCCTTTGCGCGGATGAGGTTAGGAACTTAAATTCTTTGTGTTAGGAAATTTGACACTGAAGTAAATCCGAGGAGCCTACGGAAAAGCAAATGGGGCAGTTCCGAGTTTGTGAGCGTTTTCACGCACGTTTGGAATAAGCACCCGCCGGCCCACAAACTTCACCCCCCTCTGCCACCCTTCCGTCCTCTTGCTTCCCCGCTCCGCCCCGCACCGCCACTCTCCGGTCGGGCGGTGCCCATCACAGAACATCCTCGACACGCGATCATCTCTGGGGGGCCGGGGCCGGACCACACTGCACGCCGGGGCGTGGCGCGGCGGGGCAAGGCGTCCCCGTCCCGCGAGATCCTCAACTATTTCTGGCCGCACCACTGCCCCACGCCGCCACCCCTCCCCACAGGAGAGAGGCGGGCGTGGCGAGGTGGGGCGGGGATAGGGCGGGCGCTGGGCGCGGCGGGGTAGATAGCTCCTTGCGCGCGGTGGTAGCACGGCTGGTGGTATACGCTTCAATGGGCTGGACACAACGATAAAAAGAATCCTACCACCTGTTATTTACAAATGTGAAGGATGCCGAGACGCAAACAAAAAAAAAAATACATAAAGGAAGGAAGGAATTCATAAACAAACGCACACACTATAAACAAAAACGAACGAGCGTTTTTGCTTAAAGTGTTTTTCCCCCGTTTCGGACAGCGAAGTAGCCTGTGTCCTGCTGCCGTGTGCAAACAACACTCGACGACGCGACCTTCCACCACGACGACGACAGGCTGCTCAGCTCATACTGGGCGCGGCCGCGGGGCGGCATCGCTACCTCAAACACAAACACAAGGGGCTCGCTTGAGCCGGTGCGGCGGCCCGACGGCGGGGCTCGGCGGGGCCCGCGGCGCACTCTGGGCGGTGAGCCAGGTGAGTCAGTGGCCCGGCCCCCTCTGTGGGGTCCCGCTCGGGTCCCCCCGCACCCCTCGACAGATAAAACACACGGCGCCCCTTCTTGCTCCGCAATTTCACACCTCGCACGACGTCGACCCCTCGCAACATTTCGTACTTCGCGGACTTATCGCACGCCCGCCAAATCAAAAGTCCAACCTTGTGGTCGTGTGTCTGCTTCGACATTGAAGTTTCTTTCTCCGCATATAAAAACATCGGTCTGTGGATTCGTACAGCGGCTCGTATGTGCGAGATCGGCCGGCTCGGGCCAGCACCAGCAGCAGCTCCCCATACTCGTGCAGCCCGGAGCCACAGGACGGCCGATCAAAGGCAGCCTGGGGGCCACGAGAGACTACACGGGGGGCGGGACGGGACGGGGGAGGGGCGACGATAGCAGAAGAGCGCCACGAGCCTGGCAATCATGAATGAATAAACCTACGCCACGGTCGCCACGGCGTCAACAAAGGACGGGGAAAATTGCGAGGCAAGCCAGCGAGCGAGGCAGCAGCAGCCGCAGCAGCAGCAGCAGCAGCCGCTGCGCCGCCGGGGGACCGGGGGCGCCTCGCTGTGCGGTGCTACCCCCTGGGCTGAATGGAAAGTAATGGGCAAAGTGTCGGGCGCAGCGCGGCGCAGCGGGGAGTGGTGTGGCGGGGCGGGGCGGGGCGGGGCGGGGCGGGCGGCGAGGTGAAAAGGAGGCCGGGGAGGCTAGGCCCGGATCGGGATCGGATCAGCTGCGCCTGTATAAAGAAGGGGACACACGTGGGGGCTCAGCGTGCTCGGGCGCGGGGGGCGGGTCCCACAGGAGGGGGGAGCTGGAGCGGACAGAAGGGAAGCCTCGGCGCCGTCCTCGTCATTAAAACTAATTCAGAATAGTGTCTTCGCCAAAAGTAAATTCCAAAAAATAGGCGTCATCCACAAGTACACGAGATTGGTGCACCGTACTTAAAGTCTGTTTTTCTTTCTAGGCTGCAGACGGGGTTGCGCGTACGTCATCGGCGGCACGGACCAGCCGAAGTCTAGAACCCATTGGACCAAACAACGTGACGCGAGGAACGTCTGTAATTTTACCTATTTTAAAATGGGAAATAAGGTGCGTGTTTAGAGTGATTTAATGTAGTCTCGTATGGGCCAACAGTGGCGGTTTTTCAAGTGGAGTCATATATGAGGCCAGCACATTTGGTTCGACATATTTTATTTTATTTCTGTTTCCCCCTTTTTTTGATAAGTTTGACAAATGTGAATAAATCTACAGTTTTTAACTATAGGTTGAACAATTAATCATCTCTTTATTTCATTTGATGCAGATATCACGGGAGCAGGAGCTTCCTGACATTGTGAACCGCGGTGCACGACATGTTTACATGGGATGGTTCGCAGTCACGGGAACGCTGCTCTCAGGCAAGTGGTCAAACATTTTAAAAACGACATTATTGAACCTTGCCGCATGCATCTGAATTAATGTTTTTCTTTTGACAAAGGTTTCACTAGATCAATCTTTTCAGTATGATTATATCTGTATTCTCTCCACTTTAGTGAACTACTTCTGGGCAAACACTGTGGAGAAAATAGGTGAGCATTATGTAAAATATTCAATGAGCAAATTAGAAGTAAACTCATTGTTCTTAGTTTTAAAAAATCAATAATCAAAACGATAAAATTTTCAAATTTTAATTTTAAGTAAACACCTTTTAGCTAGTTTTTTTTTCTCACCAGTTGTTGTCAATGCACTACCAAATGCAGTGTTGATTGTATCTCAGATCATGTGGCGACTGGTAATGCTTACAGAGGAATGTAAGCATGTTAAAAAAGTGTAAGGAACAATATATAAAGAAAATAGATAGACCTACATGTTATCCACTTAATTTTAAAATACATTAATGGGCATGGTTTGCAGATGTTCTGGGAGTTACTGGCGACTCCTTGAAAGAACTCTATCGTTCAATCGAATCTCAACACTCTCTGCATTTGCAACTTTTGTGGTCTGTCCCTTGATTATATTATTATTCCCTTGCTTGTTTTTTTAAATGCCGTTAATTCCAAAGCACATTCCAAATCAACTTCCATTTTCAGATTGTCATTACAGCCAGACCAAATCTGAGTAAGATGTGGATAGAACTTGGTCCTATACCACTCTGTTTGTCTTTCAGCTCTTACTACATTTTGCATTGTGTTATGGGATCTGTAAGTATAGCTTGTTACAATATTCCTGGCAAGATTAATGGAAACCACGTAACTCCAATAAAAAAATGGCTACAATATCTGACAGGAAGCGTGCCCCACCTGGGAAAGTCAAATAATGAGACAACTGAATGGCCTTGACCATGGATCAGCACTGGCTCACTCTTTTTATAATGGCTACTTGCGGATCATACTTCCAGCACGAGGAGACTACGCCAAAGGTAATAAAAAAATTAACTTCTATTCTGAAAATTAACTTTGTAGGTAACCTAGATAATTTGAAATCTAGGTCTAGCTCAGAGAATAAAGGACTACATGAAAGAAGCAAAAATCAATGAAGATGATTTTCCCGTTCAAAAACTAATAGTTCTTATTCCAAGCTCTGGTAATGTTTTTCCATTACTGAGTGATGAGCCTTCTCAAGCTTGTGCAGATCCACCAGTTCAATATGCAGAGGTTGTTCTTTCTCTATTTTAATGCAGTATTGACTTTAACGAAGTTCAAAAATGTGTAATCTCAAACTTCTATTTGCAGGGATTGCAGGATCAATTGAGGTCTCGCGCTGGGATAAAGGAGAGAGTGTATCGTGGTGCCGCGTACCGGATTAAAGTAAGAAGAAATGGTAAAATATCATTTTTATATACCATAGCTGAAGGAGCAACAACAGTGCTCACATTACGTGAATCTTGCTTAACCGGGACTCCTGAAGCCGGTACGAAAGATGTTTCTTTCTTTGTGGACTAAACCGCAATTAGTAAAAGTACCATCTAAACACAAACAAATGATTCAACTATTTCAGAACATCTACGAAAGCATAAGGCAGATATTGTTGCCAATTTTTATCGTGCTTTGCAGAAGCTAATTGACGCTGATAGGGAAATAAAACACTTGGTGGATTTGTTGTATTATGATGGTGGGTACTTCATTTTTCTTAGGTTTTTCTGGAAAACCGATTTAACTTTTCCTACTTTGTCTTCGTTTTAGATGAGGATCCGACTCAACCTGATGTTCTTTCTCTCCTGACTGACCATTTACTGCAAGCCTCTTACAAGAAATATAAGAACTATTGATTATTCTTGGAAACTGAAACATTTGGGGGATATTTCTGGATGAAAATTGGAATTTTACTTTTTTACTTGGGATTTTACTTTTCAATTGAGATTTTGTAGTAACAATTAATTTTTAAATAACTCTTAAGGAGAAAACAAACTTCACAGGGTGGCCGTGCGGGCAACGAGATCCGTGGGTAACCAAGCATCTATAAACATAGTTCACATCGAACGTTCGGTAATCCGAAGACTTCTTTTTAATACCACTCCATGACTCCCTAGAACGTCGATAATAAAATCAATGTTTCATACAGTTTTTCTGTGAACTCATTTCGCATTCCTCCACCAACCACAAGACGAGAGCACTGCTGTGAGCTTGTGCTCTCTCAATAAGACGACAGAAAAGGACGCATAAATGCATCGGTCTTTTGCATCTCTGGGCGGGTGAGGTGCTTTGCCACGCGAGGGACCTCCGTGACAAGCTGTGTTGTGACGCCGGGGAGCCCCTCTGACTCGACTTGTTCTTTATCGCGGCCGCCACCTTGACCCCCCAGCAGCAGCACCAGCAGCAGCAGCAGCAGCAGCAGCAGCAGCACCAGCAGCACAGGCCACGCCCTGCACGGCCCACCAGGACCCACGAACCGAAACCATTCCATTTCCCCGGCTCTCTCCCTAGAGCCCGGTCCGGCCCGCCCCGCCCCGCCCCTCGCACCCCAGGGCACCCCGATAAACCTAAACACGGCCGTGACTCGCGAGCGCGCGCGACTTTCTCATCCATCTGCCTGGGCCCCGCGGCCCCAGCACACCCTCTGCTCCCCCGTCTGTCTCACCTTGACGGATCGAGCACTGTTAAAAAAAATTTAAGAAAATCCCAGTTTTGGGCTGTGAAACGCTCGATTCTCAGTCGTTGAGTCGGGAAATTGCTAAGCCATGGAGGGTTAAATTTCCGTAACCAATTTAATCGGGTTTTCCTGAACCCAGTGGGCTGGTAATCGGAAATATAGCATCCAACTAGTAAAATTCAAGTTGTGGCATGGGGATTTCTGTTTCGAAACCCACAACTTGAAAATTCAAGTTGTGGAATCGGGATTGCACCTAGTCTCATGTCGACCACTTTGAACCGATAAAAAAAAAATTAGCCCGAGGTGGAGTTGAACATAGGCCTATAAGTTCCCAGTCCTGCTCTGTACCCCTAAGCTACACAGCGCT